AAAACAACATTGCAAGTTGCGATTCTCTGTAAAGCTAAAAAGCCTTACTAAATTAGTTTTAGTGGGCTGAGTGTTTCTTTTGTAGTAGTGAATTAGAAGTCATTCAGAAATATTGTAATAATATAAAGATTATTTCTGGAACTTTAGAAAGTCACTTGTTCAAATCAAGAGAATTTTAAAATATTTTGAAACCACTGAAAGTAGAACTAGGTAATAGAATTTTGTAAGTTTTCAAAATTAAAATTGCCTATTTAAAATTCCTATTCTGTTTTTCTTTCCATTCATACATGAACTATTCTTGACACAAGACAATATTATCAGAAGAGCCCCTAGATGAGGAATCAGAGGATGGTTTTCAGTATTTATTAACTGAATACATTGGCAGTATCCACCATCTCTCTAGTGCTTTATCTAAAATGTGAAGGTTTTTCTAAGTGACGTTAAAATCCCCTTCCAATTTTAGCCTTCTATACTTTTAAAAATCTTTTTAAAACATTTTTAAAACATATATATTAAGTTCAACTCAAAAATTTGCATGCAAAGTTTCAGAAAAATAATAGTGATAATATAAAATGGTGAATTCATATTCTGTGAATACAAATGCAATTTATTTACTTATTTTCATTTTGGAGGCATAGCAAGTGGAATTCAGATTAAGTAGGCTAGCTATGTGTTTTGTTTAAAAAAAAAATCACTGCATTCAATTTGATCTCAACTCATAGTGACCTTTTAGGACACAGAGAATTGCCCCATAGGGTTTCTAAATATAAATCTTTATGGAAGCAGACTAACTTATCTTTCTCCTGTGGAGCAGCTGGTGGGTTCTAACCATTGTCCTTTAGGTTGGCAACTGAGCACTTAGCCACTGTGCCAGCAGTGTAGTATATTTTAAATAACCTAGGTTTAAATCCTGGCTCTGAAACTTAACCCTCTCTATATAACTTCTTAGGGTATTAGTTAATATATCCTAAGTCCTTCTGTAAATGGGAATAATAAAACAATACCGTATAGTATTGTGATAGCTAAATGAACTATGTATATAAACTACTTAATGCTGTGCCTGGGCCGTGGATGCAGGATAAATGGTTTGTCCTAAATCACCTAGGTAGCAAATCAGTGTACTTTTTTATGATGTTTTAAATTTCAGTGAGGAGTCCCTAACTAAAAATGACTTTTGAAATCAGAACATTTATAAAGTCAAGTAAGAAGTATATTGGTCCCATTTAGTTCCATGGTAATAGTACTTGAGTCAGCTTGAGGAAATTCTAGGTTGACTTAGCTGGAGTGCTTTTGGCTTCTTTTTCTGTCATAAGATGTCTGCTGTAGTTTTATGTGTCATATTTTCACACAGTAATATCCAAACACAAAAATAGGGTGTGTTTTCTCTATTGTTGTATGCCATCAAGTCAATTCTGATTCATAGCCACCCTATAGGATAGAGTAGAACTACCCCATAGAGTTTTCTAGGCTGTAATCTTTAAGGAAGGAGCTGTAGTAGTGCAATGGTTAAATGCTTGACTGGTAGCCAAAAACTCAGTGGTTCAAACCCACCAGCTGCTCCAAAGAAGAAAGATGAGCATTCTGTGTTGGAAACCATATGGAGCGTTTCTGTTCTGTCCTATTGGGTCACTATGAGTTGGAATCGACTCTACTACAATAGGAATAGTCCTCATGGGAGCAGATCACCACATCTTTTCTCCTGTGAAATGGCTGCTGGGTTCATACTGCCAGTCTTGTGTTTAGCAGCCAAGCACTTTAGGCACACTTTCTCAAAAATATTCTAGCACATCATTTATTCCATTCTGCCTAATGCAATCCTAGACTCATGTTTCGTTGTCTACAGTTGGGTTTTCTGTCCTTCCTAAGCATAGAATAAGGAACTCTGGTGGCACTTGACTGCTAACCAGATCATCAGCGGTTCAAGTCTACCAGCCACTCCATGGAAGGAAGACAGGGCGATCTACTTCCATGAAGATTTACAGCCTGGGAAACTCAAATGGGGGTCACTGTGAGTTGGAAACGACTTGATGGCAGTGAGTTAGGTTTTTGTGTTTTTTGGAAGCATAGAATAGTAGGATTAACTAGATTGGCCCAATTTAATCTAAATTTTATCTCCTTGAGGCAAGAGATAGTATAAACATCCCTGAATACAGGATCACATAGAAGGTGAACATCTGAAGAGAATCTATTAATGGTAAAGAAAGCAGATGGAGAAAGAATGATTTGTTAGTTAGACTTTCTGAGTTATAAAAAGTTCAGATATTTGCCAAACTATTCATCATATGTTATCACATAGACCACAAAAAGAAATTTTTTCCTGGGATTGCATTAGCCAGAATGGAATAAATAATGTGCTTGCATTGAGATACAATGTTGTATATCATTTTCTCTCCTCTTAATATACCTCCTATATATGTTGGAAGTTAAATTTTGTTACGGTGAATTGCAACAGACTCACAAGTTGATTTGTTTATATATTGAGTTTAATTTCATTGACTATTTCATTTCTTGAATATGCGAAATGTGTTTGTACTACAGAGATTTCTATTTTTTAATGATTAGATTTTGGGCTGTATAATGAAATAGAAATAATCCAATTACAATTAAGAGAAATTTTGAATAGTGGTAAATTTTTTTAAAGTGGAAGCTTATAATTTTAATTTGATGCGAAATCAAGAATGTGTTGTAAAATTTTTTTCTACAAGAACATATATGTACCCTCCTATGGTGGTGTTTCCTATGGAGCACAGCTTCTGACACATATGTGTTTGCCATGAGTCAGCAACTGATTTATGGGATTTTTTTTTTTTTTAACAAACAGAATGGTTATATTTCAGCTTCATACTAAGGGGCAACTGTTTATTTTTACTTTCCATTTTTTGGTTGCTACCGTAAATATACACAGCAAAACACACCAATTCAATAATTTCTATAGGTACAATTCAGTGACATTGATTACACTCTTCAAGTTGTTCAACCATTTTCACCCTTTGTTTTGGTTACCTAGTGCCACTTTGATAGGAGCATACCACAAATGGGTGGGCTTGAACAAACAGGAGTTTATTTTCTTACAGTTTGGGAGGCTATAAGTCTGAGTTCACAGTGCAGGCTCTAGGGGCTGGGTGTAAGCCCCTCGACCCTGGGCTTCAGCTCTGCTTCTTGCTCCCAGCCTGCTGAAGCTGGAAGCTTCTCTTCTGAGGCTGACAAACCCAAGGTCAACAAGTAAAAAGGCCCAGTCCCAGTGTTGCCAAACAACATGGCAGGCCATTGATTCAAGTCCATTGGAAGTCCCACAATCAGCAGAACATGGCAGGCTGTTGAACAATGACTTGGCTACACTCAGCATTCAAGCATACCAAAAAGCTAGAGACTGTTCCTGAGGCTTCTCCTTATATACAAGAAGCAGACCACATCCCTACAGCAGCTATTCAGCTGCTTGTGATAGATCTCACTATGTAGTTGATTGCCAGTCTCATCATGGGAGATAACTACCACCAGCTGCCCAGCCACTCAGCTGGGCCCAGCCAAGTTGACACATAACCTTTACTACCAAATCCTCCTTTTCCAAACTGTTCCTTTGCCATTAACAGAAACTCACTGCTTCCTAAGGTTTCTTTTTAACTTTTCAAGTTGCTATTGTCAATTTGATGTAGATATAGATATGGATATGGATATGGATAGTTCTTTAAAAGTGCACAATGCTCAAGGCAGGCACTTTTTACTAGTTAAGCTAAACTATTGTTTTGTCTAAAGAAGACTACAGGAATATTCTTGGTTTAAGGTTTAACGATTATCTCAGGGCAATAATTTTGGGGTTCATCAAGCCTTATTGGCTCCAGAAAGTCTAGATTCCTTGAAAATTCTGTTTCACATTTTCTCTCCTTTGATCAGGATTCCATTATAGACTCTTGATCAAAGTGTCCAGTAATGGTAGCTGGGCACCATTCAGTTCTTCTGGTATTATGACAAAGGATGCAGTTGTTCCTGGAGGCATTTAGCCACGCATTCCAATTTTTTCTCCTATTCTTCACTGTCCTTCCTCTGTTGCTCCAGGCAAATAGAAACCAATTGTTATACCTGGATTGCTGCTTGCAAACTTGTAAGACTATGGGGCTATTTTTATTATCAACCTTTTCATTCATTTTTTTAAAATTTTTATTTACTTATTTTGATTTAATGATTATTTGACAGGTCAAGATAATGGGTAAGTTAGTTTGTGTTTCATAAGTAAGTAAGCTTTAAGTAGAATCCAAAAAAAACCAAACTCATTGCTATCGAGTCGGTTCTGACTCATAGCGACCCCTCCTTGGGTTTCCGAGCTGGTATCTCTATGGAAGTAGAGTGCCCAGTCTTCCTTCTGAGGAGTGGCTGGTAGGTTTGAACCGCCAGCCTTCTGGTTAGCAGTCAAATGCCTTAGGCACTGCACCACCTGTAGTGAATTCATTTATGAACTGAGATGGCCGCATGGATCTTGTCAAAAGACAGAAACCCTTTAAAATATTCCCAGTAAGCCAATACATCATGGCAGAAACCCTTCAAAATATTCCAGTTAGCCAACACATGAAAGGGGTTTCATAGCACTGCACATTTGTGAACAGACAACTTTGTAGATTATTTAATATCTAGTTGAGTCCCATCAAAATGCCGATAAGAAACTGTATGACACAATACTAATTATGGTACTGTGACTATAGTATCATATTTTAGGTAAATACTGTAAATGTACATTTCTACATCTTATGTACATAGTAGCATTATGTACATAAGATATGTACATTGTGCTTGATGGACAATATAAGAACTTTTCTAGGGTAATTGGGACTTTTCACAATTCTGTCCTTACTGACTGACTAGAATTCAATCCATGAATAAGATATATATACTTTTTTTTCCTTCTTTCTTCCCAGAGAGGATCTCCTCTAATAGAGCCTCTAGTTACCTTATTTGTATGTATGTGTGTGTACAGAGTTACCAATGTAAAACTTTCTGTTTTTGTTCAGGCAGCTCGGTGTAACTGCCACCAAAAATCCAAAGAGGAAAAATGCACTTATGCTGATAAATATACCCAAACACCCTGGAGAAGAAATTCTGTGAGTAATATGCCCTTACCTTTTTCTTATGTCATTTATTATCTTGATACTTTATTCTGCCATTTTTACTCTAATCTCTAATAATTTTTAATCTGCTATGTCTTGTCTGTTTATTGTTTTTAGGTAAGCTGTTTGTTGTTGGGCTGGAATCTCCCCCTTATTTTGGTCCTTTAAATGTTTTGTAAAGCTTTTTTATATATCTCTTATATAAATGAATATTCGTTTAATAGCTTTTGCATTCTGTAGACTTAGCTTATTTTGTTTGAGTGTCTAATTGTCTCTCACTGCATGTATTTATGAAGTAGGATTTTCACATGCCCTAGAAGAAACAGAAGTCCAATATGCAGTATTCCCTCTTTAGCAGCATATGATGCTTTCAAAATATATGATGTAGCATATTCCTCTTTTTGTTAAAATGTTTCAGATAGGCTCTAATTATGCAGCTGTTGATGATGTTAGAATTATCAGTGCATTAAGACAGTAAATGTTATGTTTTAGGCATAGTTAGTGTAGAAAGAAGCCATCTAATCTTTGCTTATTTGGCATTGTCCAAAGATAATATCTACATATATCTCAAAACATATTTCATGCTAAAAATACACTGTTATTTATTTAATCTGAGTTTTCCACAGTTCAGTTCAGAATGTGCCTGAGCCAGAGAATCATCATTATGTCCATCAATTACCTTTATCCTATTGTATAGGGGCCAGTAATAAACATTTCTTGTTAAGTGGATTCTTGGTAAGCCAGCCTTCACTCCTCATTTACTTTATGTTTAGTAGCAGAATCATAGTAACACAAGTAAATAGAGGAATATATTAGTTATTGTAATCAGTGATCTCATTTATAAAACTGTAGGGCTTTAAAGTATAGTTGTTCTTTTCATCCAACAAATAATTACGTAACAAATTTGTGTGTACTCTATATAAGGTGGTACCTACCATGCTAGGAATTAATTTTTTCAGTACAAGATTGGTGAGTCTTTCCTATTCTGGATAGTAGACTCTTGAAAAATACACCCAACCACCCTTAAAGTAGAAAAGGGGAATCAAGGCAGGAAATACACAGATGAATAAGGATTCCTCCATTAACAAGTGCATATTAGAGGAACTAGTGATTTATTGATACAGTTAAAATGCAGGTAGTTGTGTAAGGTTCAATGGATTGGGAAAGTCTTAATGGAGAGAGTTTGATGAAGAAGGTGAATGTAGTGTTTGAATCATAGAAAGAAAAACACAGAAACGACTTGCTTGGTGGTCAGATGTGATATGATTGAACACGCAGATAAAATTTCTTTAATGTCAAAGAATATGGGAGCATATCTGGAGGTAATTACAAAATATAAGACTGTGCCCCTTCCGGATGGAGATATGGGCTTCCCAGGTTTCTCCAGGTTCCCCACAGAGAGGTATGTGTCTGTAGATCGATGGTCCCACTGATAGTAGAAAGTTCATTTTGCTGTTTTCAGAATCTTTATATCCTCTCTGGCTCCCTCAACTTCACTGTTCTGGAAACTGGCTTTTAGTTGTCCTGCTCACCAGATAAAAAGTAACTAGTATAAAATAATTCTAGTACATTCCTGAATATATTCCTGAGTTATTTTACTATGATTTTAGGTGAAATGAATTTTCCAGGCCTAGCATCTCTTAACAGACCTAGATTTTTCCTGATCTATTTCTTTAGAAATCATCTGGCCAGTATCTTTATTGTATAGTCAAGGTAACAAAAGTCAGGCAGGTTAAATGGCATATTACAGTTTCTATAAAAAGAAGCTGAACTAGTACTATAACTAGTATGATAACTTAGGACTCCTGACTGCTAGTCCAAGGTTCCTTCCACCAAAAGCACACTTAGGAGCCTTAAAAGATTGGTAGAGGTTTTCCATGTTGAAATGAGAGGAATATCCCTGGCAAAAGGAACAGTATAAGTAAAGGCAAAAAGGTAAAAAGAGATCTTTGGTCAATAGTGAGTACATGATTTTGGCTGGGATAGCAGAAGTTAGTGTAAAGTTTATTTTAAGGTACAATTCATATTTTTATGTAGTAATTACTAGAAAAATAGTTTTACTAAGTTATATATTGATTTAGTTAAATATAGTGTGTCTATTGGCTGATTTTTTAATATATTTTCTGGACTTAATGGAATTCATTTTAAATAAATTGTAAATTCTTTTTTTAACTATAGTTACAAAGATTTTCTTTAAAAAAGTTGTACTTTATTTTCTTCTTGGAACTACTGTATTTAAAGTTACTAATGATAAGAATGGGGAGATGAGATATTCTTCTTTGACAACGTCTAGTTTGTTAGGCAACAGTTTTGGCAATGGAATCATGTTATAGTAAAAATCCCCCCACTTAGTGTAAGCAATTTTTCTTTTTTCTTTTTTTTCCTGGCTAAGCCTTTGGGAAGGAAGAAACTTATCATCTGAGTCCATATTTTCCTCCATTCCTTATAATATCTTGGGAAATTTAAATGTCCTCCTTGGCACTACTTGAGTTTTGTAGATTCTACTTCAGAAGGTTGTGTGGCATATGTGAACATCTCCTCTGCATATTTCTTAATATAAGAAATCTAGTTGCAGTGAAATGCAAAAGGGTGGCAGAGAAGAGAGCGGTACTGTAAGATTTGTTAGTAGCCAGTTAGGAGATGGGAAGCAAAATAATATAAACACGTCAGGCAGAAACTGTAGGAGGAGGGGAGTAGTAGGCCACCTGCAGCAGCAGAGCATAGGAAATACGAATGTACTAAGCCCAACATAAGTTTTATTCCTAGATTTGTATAAGGGAATTTTGATTTTGGCTCATAGCTGCAAGGAGGTCCTTGAAGTAGAAAACCAACAGGAAATAATAAGAGGAAAAACCAAAACAGTAGAATAGGGGAAAGGAGGAAAAGCAGATATTCACTTACTCAGCACATGTTTGTATGCCTACTCTGTGCTAGGCATTGTCCTGATCTAGGAGTGTGAACATGAAGAAGATACAGTCCTAGCTCTCATGGAGATTATAGAAACAACCAATGAGCCTAAATGGTGTTAATCTCACTCTTTCCTGCTCATGAAGAAGCTAAGACTAAATGACTCATGCAAGTATTTATACAGCTTGCATTACCAGAAGTTAGGATTTCTAACTGATAGTTAATATAGTTGCCTCCCTTTTAAGAAGCTGCAAGAGGACTAGGGGGAGTAGAAAGGAGAGATAGTCATATCTCTGGGAATGGAGGAAAGAGGTATGATCTCAGTGACAGATTATGATGAAAACTGACTTCCCTGAGAGAGAAAAAAAATTTTCCATGTTAAGGCTAGGTAGTAGAGATTTTAGCAGTCCATTATGATAATCCATGCAACATACTTGGAGAAAAATATTTATGGTTGTAAAGGCATAATTTCAGTGAGCACAGGAGAAAAAAACCAATGAAAACACAATGAAGTCAGGGTCAATCCGATGTTTGTGTAAAAAAATATATTGACATAGCAGGGTATGTAAGTAAGTTTAATGTTGTTTTCTCAATAGAATAGTAATGTATATTCTTAAAAATGGGGGGGGATAGGATGCTAATGATACTTTACAAATGGCAAAGAACCAAAAAATGTATAAGCATTAAAAAAAAAAATTATCGGTGGCTTTCTCCTTTTCTTTTGATATAGAAGCATGTAAAGGTAATGTGTTTATTTTATGGCAAATAGAAAATAAAGAAGCAAAGCACTTTCAGAAAATGTGAAATTAGTCAAATTATATTAACTACTGACAGTTCGTTTGTGGCCTTCTAAACTTTTTTGGTAATGAATATGTCTAGGTGGAATTATGTTCCATGTGCTATTTTCCCCACACTGTCACTTGGTCTCCACATTGTCACTTTAGGTTCTAAGAAACCATTCCCAACCATTTCTGTTAAGATCATTCCTATTTTGTGGTTTTCTTACCTTAGAAATCCTGACTTTCTTTCCCTCACCTATTTTTTACATATATCCAATCTCAGCTTTTATGTATTAATTATATATTTAGATTTTGAAAATCCTGGGAGTGTCTTTCTGCCTATGATATCATTTGGCTTTCATGGCACAGTTGCTTTTGATGCTGGAGTTACACTAATAAAGTTCCGAATGGTTTGGGATTTAATTTGAGTGTTACTTGTGAAATTAAACTTTAACAAGGGAGTACTAGTTAATCACTGGGTGGGTACCTTTATAGTATTAGAAAGGTTTCTACTGTTTTAAGGAAGTGCCAAAGACATGCTGTTGGCATATGACAGGACACTTTAAAGTACACTTTGTATTTAAGCAAGTGTTTCTAGCATGAAGGATAACTGTGACGCAATTAGGAGCTCTGGTAGCATAGTGCCTAAGGCACTTGACTGCTAATCAGAAGGCTGGCGGTTCAAACCCACCAGCCACTCCTTGGAAGGAAGGTTGGGCAATCTATTTCTGTAGTGATACTGCCTTGGAAACCCAAGGAGGGAATCGCTATTGAGTCGGGTCCAACTCAACAGCCCATAACAACAACAACAACAGCAGCAATGAAGCAGTTACTACCATTTGGGATAAAAGGAATGGAGGGTATCCACAGCTTGGGAAAGGAATAATATAATGTCCTGACACTGCATTGTAAGAAAAAGGCAGGCACAGGATTCCAGCTCCAGAGTTGAGAATGAAAAGATAATACAGAGCAGTGTTATTCAGTAGAACTTTCTTGCTGTCCAATGTGGTGGCCACAAGCTACATATGACCATTGAACACTTGAAAATGTGGCTAGTGTGAATGAAGAATGGAATTTTAAATTAAATTTAAATGTAAATTGCCACATGGGACTAGTACTACCCTGTTAGCCAAAGCAGCTCTAGAAATAGTGTCTGCTTAGATGGCTTTGGGAGAACCACCTGGGCAATAAGTAAAGAGGAAGTCTAAAAAGTCAATTTTTGGAATAAATAAAGGAAAATGAGGAAGATGGAGTTAAAATTGAGATAGAGAAGAATAGGAGGTAAAAGAGGATAAGCATGAGTGATAG